CTCTCTCTCTCTCTCTCTCTCTCTCTCTCTCTCTCTCTCTCTCTCTCTCTCTCTCTCTCTCTCTCTCGTCCCAAAAGTGTTTGAACTCGTATTTGAAAAAAATCCAAAAATCTAAACGAAAAGCATATGAAAAGAGTTGAAGTAAACGAACGATAGGATGATGTGATGGATGAAAGGGTTGGAGCAGTTAATTAAGCTGTAGTTCCCTCCGCACTCGTAAGCGAAAGCAAATTATGGTTTCTCTCATGCAATCAATCGTTTCTGAGTTGAAAACTATAGATAAAACTATAGTTATTTCAACTGATGGCTGAGATTATCTGTAATTTTGAAGCAAACTTTAAGCCTACTATACGTAACAGAAAAGTGTTTGCGTCTAAACTCCAAAAAAACTCAATACACAAAGCGTTTCAGAAGTTTTATTTTTAAACTTTTTATTTTTGGATTTGATTTGTTATTGATATCAATAAAAATTTCTAGAATATTACGAAACGCTTGGAATTTATCTAACATTTGAGTGCAAACACAATAACAGCCCACACAGTACACTGAAAATGAATACAGTGTACTGTAAATCTTATATAGTGTACAATTGTATACAATGTATCCCGGAGTTGGCCGATTGCCTCCTAATATAACTGGCATTATATTACTATCAAATTGACTCAACTCACAAATAGTGATCATTTTTGTACATTATATCCTCGAGAATTAAATCAAATTAAATCCATTGATAGAAAGCATTTGTTTAAGTCATTAAACCTTTTTTCAAAAAAAAGTCGACAATTTTGTTTTATTTCTAACAAATCGCTTAATGCTATTTGTATTACAGAATATAAATGAGCGAATAGTTAGTGTCAGGCATTGGTTTGGCTGCTAATAAATCTTCAAACGACAGCTTTTTGTAAAACAACAAAATTTTTGTGTTAAGAGTTAAGTGTTGTTTCCATCAATTTTGTTGTTAGTGTTATATAACCAGTCATTCTGTGCCTAAGAATACGACAAAAACTGTACTTCACGTCCGGACTCTTGACTCCAATTTTATTGTTGTTTTAAATCTTTAGTCTATTTATGAAATTATATATAAAAAATATATTTCTCTGAAATGAATTCAGAAACTGATTGCTAGTATACATTACATTGAATACCAACGTATCTAACAGTTTATAACGAGTTGCATAGAAGTAGAAATTTTCTATTCCCACAAAAAAGCATTAATTATGAGATGAGAGGGATTTTAATCCTTTATCTCATCTTATGATCGGTTCACCAAAAAATTTGAAACGATTTTAAGTAAACAAAAAGCAACACTTAATATATTAAGCGCTGATTTGCTTTGATTAATGGTTTCTGAATGAATGAACACTTTCTAAAAATATATTTTAAATGTATTTTACGATCAAATTAATGCCTAAAACCAAAACGACTCGTAAAAATATATAAATACAATAATATTAATACATTTGATATAAAAGATTTGCGCGAAAAGTCATAAGCTAAATATTTAATATATAAATATACAGAATATTCTTTAGGTTTAAACATTGTATATATTTGTTAAATAAATAGGGGAATCGGGATCGAAGTCAGTCTCTCCAGACGTACATAATATCAGAAATACAGAGACGACATACATGTCGACCCGACACGTGGAAGCGCCGGTAGATAAGCCTCCGTCTGAACGACAGGAGAGAATAAACCAAAATATATGCTCCGAATGCGAGAGACTTATAGTGTAAGTGAAGTCTTCATAACTTATATATAGACAGAAAAAAACATAATTATGTTTACAATATATGCACACATTTGACGGAAATATCATTACATTTAAGACTTTAGATAATAGATAAGAATTTTAATGAACACCTAATTATAAATCCATTAATAACTGTAGAGTTATACGTAAAGCATAAGTAAAATAAATAAATACAAACAAAACTAGACCTTAATTGATTAAAATAAATAAAAAATATTCTTAAGTGAATTCCCATTCTTATTAATAGCTGTTTAGACACAAACAAAAACATATTTGAAAAGTGCATTTAGAAAAACTAATACCAATAGTGAAACACAAACGGATGGCAAGAATTGCCATAATATGACACAAAGATTGATCAAGATAATATGATTGATTGATTGGATTTGATTGACTCGTGTCTGTCATTTCAGGGGTGTATTCGTGAGAGTGAAAGACAAGTCACTTCACGCCGAGTGCTTCCGATGTGCCACATGTGGGACGTCGTTGAAAAACGTCGGCTACTTCACCATCAATGAGAAACTCTACTGCGATATACACGCCAAACAAGTGTCTAACCTAATCACACCCGGCGGTGTCATACTACCCGTCTCGCCCAGCCAGTCAGTTGTTTTGTTTTGTGTGCTTTTTTGTATCAAATTCTGTGACAATTCTGTGAACTATAAATAAAATTCTGCATTAACCCTAACTCCCTGACCCGTACAGAATCAGCAACAATATCGGCCCCAATGTGTCAACCAATTCATACAACGCTACACAGAATCGAGTGGCTCAGGGCTCACCACCTAATCCGGGTCCTGTCCCATATCATGTAAGTCACAAATAACTGAATTGAAAATAATTGAATGTAAAAAACAATTTAAAAATTCCTGATTATATTAATAGTAATAAAATAGGAAGAATAGGGTTTAGTATACTTTGCATTTAAGATAAGTATTTGAAAAAATAGTTTTAGTTTTTTAAAAACACATTTTCGCACTTTTCAAAGGGAAAGGCATCTGTTTTATGGTTTTTTATCATCTGTTTAATCTCCATCTCTATTTTATTCATCATCTTATGCCTGACTATATCTCTCTCCTAAACCTCTGTCTCCCACTCCCTCTCAGAGTACTCAAGGAGTACATCAATACAACTCTACTTCAAGCACTCAATACACTAAATATGCTTCAGTCCCGCCACCAGTCGCTCCAAAGCCGACGGTATTTTCAACATTTTTAAACACAAAACACCGCTTTTTATATCCATTTCCAATGCATCACTAAAACACCGCTTTTTATATCCATTTCCAATGCATCACTAAAAATAGCCTCAATTTCTAAAGCATTAGAAGTTATATAACACTATACATTGCATTCAAATAGCATTTTATTGTTATTTAACGAATATATCATATTTAGTTCAAAAGCAACTCAACTCCCGGTGCGGCGCCTTATTATGGAAACTCATACGGCAATCAATCTGATGGTCAGACGGATGGCTACCGGCCCTTCACAGGTATGCACCAAACCCTATACACTAAGAATAATTGATGTCTAAAACAAAGTGTTTAATCCGACAATCACTGCACTCTTTGTCTATCACTCTATATGTCTGCTTCCACTTCACACTCAATGTCTAAACTCTTTGCACACTTACTGTCACTCTGTGTGTCTGTCCCGTAATGTAAACGCCCGGTCAGGTCGTCCTAAATTCCATTGGCCGCCACCACAGCCACAGCCCAGTAGTGACTACCAGTCCCGTAGTGAATACCACAATAGGAATCCCGTTTACATCAACTCTAACACCACCGATAGTATCGCCACCGGCGCTCACATGCGCGACAATACCGGCCCCCGGAGGGAGAGACCGAAATCCTTTGGGGAGTACTCCTCGCTCTACTCCACCACCACTACCACCCCATACTCTATGTCTTCGCACACTGTGTCCCAACACTATCCCTACTCCAACCCCAACCCCTACCCCTACCCCCCGGACGACCGTAAACGAGCCACAAATATATCGTCTTTTACCCCCAACGGCACCCCCTCTATAGCCACTTACGCCACTAGCTTTACGCAGCACTCGACTCAACAGCAAACCAAACTACCGGCCCCTACATCCACGCCGGTCATCAACGCTCAAAGTTGGACACCAGGTTCGCCCTACTTGTCATCCATGATCGGCCAGTCGTCTATACCCGGCTCATCACGATCGGCGCCCCGTCGGGGCAGAGGTTTACTCAAGGGTCCCATCACTGGCCCCAGCATTCCTATATGCGGGACGTGTGGGACTCCCATTCGGTACGTACCGGCGCTCTATGCCATTCAATATTACAAACTATTTAACAAAAATTTTTCTCCAATACCTGTCCATCCAGTGGGCCATTCATAGTGGCGCTGAACAAGACGTGGTGTCCGCAACACTTCACGTGCGCTAACCATCAGTGCAGTCGACCCCTGGAGGACATCGGGTTCGTCGAAGAGCAGGGAAAGCTGTACTGCGAGACCTGTTATGAGGCATATCTGGCGCCCATTTGCGCCAAATGTCACCACAGAATCAAAGGGGTATTCAATTCATAATCCATACCTTCATCGCACGAATGCATTAATTCTTTACCTAATTGTGTGGCACCGGTAGGACTGTCTAACGGCGCTGGAGAAGCAATGGCACCCGGAGTGCTTCAACTGCGGCTACTGTCGCCAACCCTTCGGCAACAGTACCTTCTATTTGGAAGACGGCGTTCCCTACTGTGAGAAGGACTGGAATGAACTCTTCACCACCAAATGCGTGGGCTGTGGGCTGGCCATAGAGGCGGGCGACCGGTGGGTGGAGGCGCTCAACCAGAACTACCACTCCAACTGTTTCATGTGCACCGTGTGCCGCAAGAACCTCGAGGGCCAGAGCTTCTACGCCAAAGGGGGCCGACCTTTCTGTAAATCGCACGCCCGATAGGCTCGCAGAACCACACGACTATACCACCGGCACCGGCAGCCTATCGACTGAAACACATGATTTTTGACATACGATTCCATTGTTTTAATTGTTTTTTGCAGTTGCGGTCAGGGTTTACCCGTTGCTGGTCGACCCCCTCCACACACTATACCCACACCTCCTATCGATTGTTAGTCTCCGGAATGGATATTATTATTGAATTTGTTTTGTTTTTGTCCCAAAATATTATAGACTTT